TTGGTATGAAGCCCGAACGGCTGAGTACCAGGGGGAAGAGGTTTTTTTTCCTTAAATAAATTATCAGAACTTTCTAATGCCCGAACGGCGATCAACGGCGTTAAGATTATTTGAGCAAGAAATAAGTTAGGAAATTGGTTAAGTCCTACGAAACAGGCCGAATCCCGAATGGCGAGTAAATCATGCATTAAAGACAGAAAAGACAGTACGCCAAGTTTCAGGCAAAAAAGGGATATATATTCATCGGTGCTACTGACCGGGAAATACAGGCTACTTGGAAAAAAGAAAATTACAACAAGAATTACAATACATATGAATTATTGATCGGGGGCCATTTCATCTCCCTCTTCATCCTCATCCTCATCATCATCAGACAGGGGTTCAGGCTCTTTCCCCGCAGCCCGATCGGCTTCCCTCTGCTGAGCTCGCAGGAATTTCTCAAACTGAGTCTGGATAATGTCATCTGCGGGGAGATCAGAAGCCTGAACCGGCCTCCCCAGATGATTTTGAAGCTGATTGACGAAGGGACGCAGCAAGACCTGGCCAATTTTGCCATAAAGGTCTGAGACTATGGAGTCGTTCCATTTTTTGGCCTCGGGGTCCTTATCTAAGAGGGCCACCCCTGCCGATAGCCGACCAGCGCCCTTGGGGAAACCCTTCAAATACGCCCCAAAGGCGAACGGGATTTGGGCCCTTGCATGATCATCCTTGATGGCGGAGAATTCATCAGAGGATTTAAACGTATCCCGGACGGCGGACAGATCCACATTCACTTCATACGGACCGTCCGGGATGCTGGATGGCATTTCCTCAAATCTAACCTGTGCGGCCTCAGCGGCAAGGATCTTCGCCTGGGAAGCTGCGAGTTGGACCCGAAGGGTACCGAGTTCAGCATCCAGCCTCTGCTTTTCCTCCGCAAAGGCTTTCCGTTCGGCCTCCAGAGAGGCGATGGCAGCAGCAGCATGTTGCTCAGCAGAAGACTGGGCAACAATCAGTTCCCGCTCCTTGGCCAGGCGGGCCTCCCGCATCTGAAGGGTGTACAAGCCCATCTACAGAATACCGTTCGAAAATTAGTACTGGTTACAGAGAATAAAATAAAGACAAAGCGCAAAAGACAATGTACCTTCAGAGCAGTCAGAGCCAGACATTCTTCAGATTGCTCGACCGGCAACTGAGGAAGGGAAAAGTTGTTGAACCAAGAGGAGGTTGACCAGATCTGGCTCGCAGTAGAGCCGGCCCTCTCTAAAACCTCATGGATAGGGTCGGATAGGGAGATCCGTTCGACCTGACCCGTAATATGGTCGGTGTGAGTCTCGCCAGCATTCGAGGGTTCTCCCCGAACGGAGTCGAAATGCTGGGAAAATTGGTGCAGTTGATCAGAGCCGAACCGCTCGTCGATCAGCATGGCCTCTAATTGGTCCTGGTGGACCTGCTGTATTGGCTGAGGCTCTGGAAGTGGTTCAGAAGGGGCAACCTCCTGAGCGGGAATAATGGAGGGAGTAGGTTGTGGGTTCTTCCTGGATTTCTTCCGTTTTCCGGCCCCACCGGCTGCGATGACTCTGCTATCATCCATAGGAAGATCTGGGTTGGGTGCTGAAAAAAGACAAAGAACAATGTTAGTATCGAGCGGCCCTAGCGTGTGAGAAACTAGAAAAAAGAATAAAAGAACGTTTCTCGCACGGGAAGGACCGCCCGGACCAAGGCACTTGGTTTATCAAAACAAGTAAACCCAAGAGAACGGGCAGTACCTATCCCGGCTGTTATAAGTCGTTCGGGGGTCAGATAATTCATGATGTCCATGCATTTATCTTTCTCCACAGCAAGCACGTCCTTGTAGATTTCTTCAGTGAGGACAGGATCGGGGGTTTTGCGGGGAAAGGCATTCCATTTGCGGGGAATCAGACCGTCCGGGATGGACACGAAGAAAAACCGGTCTTTCCACCCTTTGATCGAAGTTGGGTTTCCTTTGAACAGGATGTGTCCCGTTCGGGCACTAGTGGCCAGATAGCCATGGGTTTGTTGGGGGGCTACTTTGAAAAATTGGTGGAAGAGTTCTAGGGTTGGTCGGGCGCCGACATCTTTGCAACGACAAATGAAACCCGCCATTGCTCGATAAGAGTTCGGCATAATCTGGGCCGGTACAACTTCGTAGAAATTGAAGAAAGAAATGAAAAAGGGGTGTAGCGGAAATCTAAGGCCGGCCCTAATCGAGTCAAAGTGGACTATGGTCATTCCGGGCTTATGACGCATTGGGTGAAGCCCGTCTTGCAAACGGAAATCCACCGGGTCAGGGATAAGGGCCGGAATTTCGGCCCTATTGTGAGAGGTCAATTTTTGCCTCCTCTCCCTAATCAATTTTAGGTCAAGAGTATGGCGAGGAACATCGTTGGGACGTCCGGCCGCCATGGAGGCTATTTCGTCCTCGGATTTGGTGTCATCAGAATCCTCACTGGAGGAAGAAGAAGTGCTAGGGAGGTCCTCCGCCTCAGCCCTGGTATTCGTCGCCGTCTCAGTAGAAACACCGGCAAACGGAACTGGGATGGCATCTACAATGGTGGTGTCACGGTCATCTCCATGAGAGGCCATCTCCGAATCAGAGGAATGCTCTTTGGGGCTCATCTCGATCGAAGCCAGAAATGAAGATGGGGAATCCAAAGTTGGGAAATTACCTGAGCAAGGGAAGCAGGGGGAAATTTGCAGAGGAAACAACGAAGGCCAAGGAATTGCAGAGTCGAAACCCGGAATTGAGGAGTTAAGGGCTAATTTATAGCCTTGAAACCGCCGTGTCGAGAACCAATCAGAGAGCGACACATCACTAGGGGCATTTAAGCTAAACATGCGTCTAATGAAAAGACTAAATGACGGTTATCATGATGAATATGGGGAAATGAAGCGGCAGCCGTCAAATCGCAGCATGGGGAACTGATTACTTCTGTACCCCGATCGCCATTCGGGGTATTATGACATTGGTATACTTCCTGATGCACTCACTTCGTTCGAGACATCGGAAGTGGGGGACTTGTGTTGGGATATTGACCTAGAGGCCCAATACCTAGATCGGGAAGGCTCAAGATATCCGGCCCAAGTAACAGGCCCATCACTCTATGATGAAAAGATCCAGTAAGGAGACATACCGAACGGGGTTCGGCCCAAATAAAGGTTGGTCCAATAAGAAGACATACCGAACGAGGTTCGGACTATATATTATACTTGGGCCAATTCGACAGCATCTTCAGTACGGACCAACATCCCGTTCGAGCAACGGCCAACCAGCAAGTGGCCAGGTGCAGTTAATGCCAGACTATGACATCACCAAGTGGAAGCATGGATGACCAAGTCGGTGGAACAACGGCCAATCAGCAAGAGGCAGCCCATGCTCTCCATTAGTATAAATAGAAGGTTTCAAGTCGTTGTAAGGGTTAGCATTTCAATACTCAAGCTCTAGAATAGCATCATTTGCTCTTATTTCTTGTATTAAAGCATAGTTTCCGACTTATCGATCGGGAAATCCCTTGTAATCAGATTGGTTAATTAATACAAGTGAGCTTTCGAGTTTTAGTTAGTTCAGATCTTATATTTTCTTTTAAGCTTTGATTCTGGGCCATTCCTGATATATCCAAAGTTCGTGTTGGGCTTTCGGATCTACGGGACTTACCCTCAACAAGCCCATTCAAGAGATAGTTTCTACACAAGAAGTCGAAGTACTTCCAAGCATCCACTGCCACTACTTTTTCCTTATTCGTTTCCGCTTCCTCTAATAGAGGTTGATCTTCGAAGAGACATTCAAATAAATTCAAAGTGGTCAAATAGAACAACATCTTTTGTTGCCAACGTTTAAAGTCATGACTATAGAATTTGCCAAGTTTCTGTGCACGAGAATGCGATAGAGGAACACAAGTGAGCGGTTCGGATTTAGGAATCACAATGTTTGTTAGGTTATCCATTCTATTTACACAAAACAGTAGGATTCAAATTTTGAAAAAATAATAAAATATACACAAAATATAGGTAAGTTGGCAAAATTGCCAAATATATGGCAGAAACGATAAAATATGGATAAAACCTGTAAACAGGTTTAGATTCCCATTATGGCCGAAAATGCCAAAGGATGGTAGAAATTATGCGAGCACTTAAGAACGAGCGGTTAATGAAAATAACAGAAATTTGGAGAAAAACTAAATTAACTGAAATCTCAAAGCAACTACACCACAGAGAACAAACGGATGCAATTAAACAGTACGTAGTTCTCCATCCGTCCCAAATTGATGGTCCTATACTTTTTTGGCTTAAATATTAAGAAAAGGTGGTAGAAGGACCCACACATATAACCTTACTTTATTGTACTGTTTACTCATTTACTTTTACTGTTCATTAAAAAAGAGAGGTATAAATGGTAGTCTACTTTAATTTATTTACCAAAAATAGAAATGTGACTATCATTTTCGAACACCCCGAATAGGAAATACAGGACATCATTTTGGGACGGAGGTAGCAATGATTTGCAAACTAGCTTCAACATGCATAGACTAATTAAACATGCAATTAAATATGTAATCCACTTATAGCGGCAGAATAATACTCCCTCCGTTCTTAAATATGAGTCCTTTTAGGCTTTGGCACGGGTTTTAAGAGGAAAGTAATAGAGGTAATGTAAAAGGTGTAGTGTGTTGTGGGTAAATGAAAAAGTAGGAAAAGAGAAAGGGGTAAGGTAATAAAAGTGGGGGTATAAAGGTATTTTGATTGAAAAAACTTCCCAAAAAGGGAAAGAGAGACAAATAATTAAAACCGCCCTAAAAAGGAATGTGAGACGGTTAATAAAGAACAGAGGGAGTAATACGAAACAACAAACTGATTTTGAATTACGTATGGAAATTAAAACCTTGCACTCACATGCACTTTCCTGTTGGGTTCGTTCTTTGTTTTTGACCCATGAGGAAAGCTCAACTATTGAGCTCATTAAAGTCTTATTTGGACTTTCAATTTTGGGAGTTTCTAATTAAAAAGGGTCTGCCATCTATCTCAAAATAGGAGGACAAGAGCAAGACAGAAATAATAGTTGTGAAAGTCAAAATCGGGAGTGAACGGCTCATCCCGTTTTTCAGCAGGGCTGCAGCAAAGAAATTTCATTTCCCGGAGATTGAACCGTTGGATCGTCGTAATTTTTGGACAGAAGCTACACAGAATCTGATCTAACATTCTGGACGGTGGAGATCGGGTTCTGAGGTCCGGAAGTCGGGTTTCGTGGGTCTGGACAGTAGCTATTTTCCTGGTGATATTTTTCTTATATTGGCTCTATTTTGATTCCATACACCTTGATGTGCTTAGTTCCAAGGATATGATGATTGTGTATGCCTCTAGTATTATCTAGAGAAGACTTTGTACTGCTCCTTTGATGATGATAGTGGATTTAAGCGGCCAAAATGGTCCCGTGGTTTTTCCCTAGTTTATGGGGTTTCCACGCTAAAATTCCGTTGTGTGCTTATTATCTAGAGAAGACTTTATACTGCTTACTGTTTTAGCTGCTTATATTGGTGTGTGACAGCAGTTTTTTTGTGTGTTCTAATTGGATTAAGAACACCCTATTTGTTTGCATCCTCAAATGTTCATTCAAGTTGGGAAAGTTTAGCCAAACGGAAATTAATTCCGCATTTTATTAGTTACCGTTTGTGGCTGTTTTTCCCATCAAATTGGTATCAGAGCCGAGTTCTTTTGTATTGGGTTAGACTTGTTTGAATGATTGAAGCTAACACAAGTAGGATGATCAATTTGAATGGTTCTAATTATCGTGTTTGGAAATACAAGATGGAAGACCTTCTTTATGTGAAGGATTATTATTTGCCTGTGTTTACTACTGATAAACCTGAGAGTAAAACAGATGCAGAGTGGAATATTTTGCATAGACAGGTTTGTGAATATATTCGTCAATGGATTGATGATAATGTTTTGAACCATATTAACGGAGAGACTCATGCTCACACTTTGTGGAACAAGCTTGAACAGTTGTATGCTAGAAAGACCGGGAACAATAAATTGTTCTTAATAAAATAGATGATGAGCTTGAAATTCCATGATGGAACTCGTGTCACTGATCATTTGAATTCTTTTCAGGGAATCATAAATCAACTTGCAGGAATGAGTATCAAGTTTGAAGATGAGATACAAGGCTTGTGGTTGCTTGGCACTTTACCGGACTCATGGGAGACTTTTAGGATATCATTGTCCAACTCTGGACCAGATGGTATCATCACCATGGAATTAGCTAAAGGCGGTATTTTAAATGAAGAGATGAGAAGAAAGTCACAGGGTTCCTCTTCACATTCTGATGTCTTAGTTACAGAAGGCAGGGGGAGAAGTCAGAGTAGAGGTCCAGGTAACAAAGGGAAGCATCGAAATAAATCCAAAGGAAAGTTTGCTGATTTTGAGTGCTATCATTGTGGTAGAAAAGGGCACACAATACGGTTCTGCAGGCAATTGAAAAAGGAGAAGAAGAAGAACGATTACAACAATCAAAAGGACCATAAGAAAGATGAGGGTGGTAATGGCAATGCTGAAATTAACACTACTACCGAAGAGTTTCTTATTTGTTGTGATCTTGATATGATCAACATTGCACATGATGATTCAAGCTGGGTTGTTGACAGTGGTGCTACGTGTCATGTAACATCACAGAGGGGTTTTTATTCATCTTACACTCCAGGTAACTTTGGTAATGTTAGGATGGGTAATAATGGACTATCAAAGATTGCAGGCATCGGAGATATTTGTTTGAAGTTTGACACTGGGATAGAGCTGGTTTTACATAATGTAAAACATGTTCCAGATATGAGACTTAATTTGATCTCTGTGGGCTTACTTGATGATGATGGTTACAGCAACAACTTTGGTAATGGAATATGGAAACTCACTCGTGGTTCTTTGATCGTGGCTAGAGGTAAAAGATGCTCAAAGTTGTACATGACACATCCGAAGATTTTCAAGGATAGGGTCAATGTTGTGGTGAATACTGACATGACTGATTTATGACATAAGAGACTTGGTCACATGAGTGAAAAGGGGATGTCTCTTTTGTTGAAGAGAAATGTGTTACCGGGTGTGCATGATATTCATCTAAAGAAGTGTTCTCACTGTTTGGCAGGTAAACAGAACGGGGTTTCCTTTAAGAGCCATGTGTTTTCTTGGGTTATGGCCAAGATGAGTTTGGTTACAGATTATATGATCCAGTGCACAAGAAACTTATTCGAAGCTGAGATGTTGTGTTTGTTGAAGATCAGACCCTGAAAGATGTTGAGAAGAAAGAGACAATTCCTCAACATAATGATGATGTTACTGATTTGGATCCAGTGCCTCCTCAGCATGTAGAACCACCTCTTGATGATGATGTTCAGAATGATGAACAACATGATACTGATGATATTGATGCTCCAGAACAGCCAGAGGTGGATGAAGAATTTCATTCAGAGATACCGGTACCAGACGTACCACCATTTGTCCCACTTAGGCGGTCTACAAGAGATCGTCATCCTTCCACTCGTTTTTCAGCTAATGAGTATGTTTTACTCACTGATGACGGAGAGCCTGAGTGTTATGCAGAGGCCATGGAAGATAAGCACAAAAGGGAGTGGGTTGAAGTCATGCAAGATGAGATGAATTCCTTACATGAGAATAATACTTTTGAGTTGGTGAAGTTGCCTAAAGGCAAGAGAGATTTGAAGAACAAGTGGGTCTACAAAGTGAAGACCGAAGAGCACACCTCACAACCTAGGTACAAAGCTAGGTTGGTGGTCAAAAGGTTCAGTCAGAGAAAGGGTATTGATTTTGATGAGATTTTATCTCCAGTCGTGAAGATGGGATCTATTCGTGTTGTTCTTGGTTTGACAGGCAGCCTTGATCTTGAGGTTGAACAGATGGATGTCAAAACTGCTTTTCTTCATGGTGACTTGGATAAAGAAATCTACATGGAGCAACCTGAAGGTTTTCAGGTTAAGGGAAAAGAAGGCTATGTGTGTAGACTTCAAAAGAGTCTTTATGGGTTGAAGCAAGCACCAAGACAGTGGTACAAGAAGTTTGAGTCAGTTATGGGGGAGCAAAACTACCGAAAGACTACTTAAACCATTGTGTTTTCTTTCAGAGGTTTGGTGATGATGATTTCATCATTTTATTGTTATATGTTGATGACATGTTAATTGTTGGCAAGAATGCAGAAAGAATTACTCAACTAAAGATACAATTGAGCAAGTCTTTTGCTATGAAAGACTTAGGGCCAGCAAAACAAATTCTTGGCATTCGGATCACTCGAGATAGAGCTTTGAAGAAGCTACACATGTCACAGGAGTATTACATCGAGAAGGTGCTTCGCAGATTTAACATGGATAAAGCTAAAGAGGTTAGTTCTCCTCTTACTACCAACTTCAGGTTGACAAATAAAGATTATCCATCTTCTGAGAAGAACATTGAAGAGATGGATAGAGTCTTTTATGCCTCAGCCGTAGGGAGCTTGATGTATGCTATGGTGTGCACACGGCTTGATATTGCTCATGCAGTAGCTGTTGTTAGTCGTTTTCTGTCAAACCCAGGTAAGAAGCATTGGGAAGCAGTGAAGTGGATTCTCATATATCTACGTGGAACTTCCAAATTGGGTATAACATTTGGAGATGAGAATCCAATACTTGTTGGTTATACTGATTCTGATATGGCAGGAAATAAGGATAACATGAAATCCACTTCTGGATATTTGATGACTTTTGCAGGGGGAGCTGTGTCATGGCAATCGAGATTGCAAAAGTGTGTGGTTTTATCCACCACCGAGGCTGAGTATGTGGCTGAAACAGAAACATGCAAGGAGCTATTATGGTTCAAAAGATTTATGCAAGAGATTGGCTTTATGCAACAACGCTACGTGGTTCTTTGTGACAATCAAAGTACTATTCACCTTGCTAAAAATTCTATGTTTCACAAACGAACCAAACATATTGATGTGAGGTATCATTGGATTAGAGATGCGCTTGAAGACAAACTGTTTGAACTTGATAAAGTTCGTACCGATGATAATGGTGCCGATATGTTGACAAAGGTTCTAGCAAGGGAAAAGTTGAAGGTATGTTGCTCCATCGCCGGTATGGCGAACTCTTTCCCATAAGTCAAAAAGGGAAAGATTTGTTGGGTTCTTTCTTTGTTTCTGACCCATGAGGAAAGCCCAACTATTGAGCCCATTAAAGTCTTATTTGGACTTTCTATTTTGGGAGCTTCTAATTAAAAAGACTCTGCCATCTATCTCAAAATAGGAGGACAAGAGCAAGACAGAAATAATAGTTGTGAAAGTCAAAATCGGGAGTGAACTGCTCATCCCGTTTTTCAGCAGGGCTGCAGCAAAGAAATTTCCCGGAGATTGAACCGTTGGATCGTCGTAATCTTTGGACAGCAGCTACACAGAATCTGAGCTAACATTCTGGACGGTGGAGATCGGGTTCTGAGGTCCGGAAGTCGGGTTTCGTGGGTCTGGACAGTAGCTATTTTCCTGGTGATATTTTTCTTATATTGGCTCTATTTTGATTCCATACACCTTGATGTGCTTAGTTCCAAAGATATGATGATTGTGAATGCCTCTAGTATTATCTAGAGAAGACTTTGTACTGCTCTTTTGATGATGATAGTGGATTTAAGCGGCCAAAATGGTCCCGTGGTTTTTCCCTTGTTTATGGGTTTTCCTCGCAAAAATTTCGGTGTCTTTGTGTTGTTGTGTGCTTACTGTTTTAGCTGTTTATATTGGTGTGTGACAACAGTTTTTTTTGTGTGTTCTAATTGGATTAAGAACACCCTATTTGTTTGCATCCTCAAAAGTTCATTCAAGTTGGGATAGTTTAGCCAAACGGAAATTAATTCTGCATTTTATTAGTTACCGTTTGTGGCTGTTTTTACCATCATTTCCAAAGATTATTAAATTATTAAAACAAAATAATCTAACGAAAGAAATTAACACATGCAGCCGCAAGAAGGTCAATCGAACTTTTCAGTTTTGAACATGCAACTAAGTTACAACCATGCTAGGGTACGCAAGTTGTACATAACTTGTACACAAAATGTCGATCACAAATAATTTATACGGAATTGTCTGTGTACACAGACATTTACTTTTTGTAAAAAAGTAGACTGACAGCCACCTCACACTGACACCAATTTGCAAATCAATCAATATATGTTCTCAGACTATATCAATAGTCACAATCAAAATAACGGATTCAAAATTTCAAGTTCAACCAAAACAGAAATGAAAGAAATGAACACATGATATGTTGACGTGGTTCGGATAAATCCTACTCTACAGGGTTTCAACAGGGGAAACCCAGTCCCAAGAATCCACTAGCTCAGAATCGTTTGAATACATAGATGGTTGCAAAGCAAGATCAGAAAATAATACGATCTAACACACAAGAATCAACCAAAACATAAGCAATACAACAGAAGTAGTAAAAGGAATAGAAATAATCGAACAAAGCTTCCAAAACCCAGGTGTGTACAGATTCTTGGATTCGAACCAATAGCCCAGCGTTTAAACTTCGCCACACGATTGATTTCCAACCTTTCTCAGCATATTCTGGCCTTAGGTGATTTAGAATCGAATGAACAGAAAACCAGAGGTTTCTCGCACATTCAACGCACAAGCTCTCAGAATCGCCTCTCTGTAGTTAGGGTTTCAAGAATGGCGCAAAGATGTCTCCAGAAGGAAGGAAGGAGACATTTTATATGCGAATCAAATGAGCTGGGTCAAATAAGGAGAACCGGACTGGACCATCATAAAAATCAGGCCCAATCCGTATTGGAAGAGACTGAAACGGGTCAGACCTAAATTAATTTCTAATCTTGCTTTACCTTCCAATTTAAGGATTAAAGCATCATGGAGAATATAACTAGAATTAGGATTACAAATATAACAATTTGCCCTCCTAAGACTAATTCTGGTGCAGCACAGCTCATAAGAGCAATTATCATCATAGCCAGTGTCAGGATTCAAGAGACCAGATTACACTCTTTCATCATCAACCCAAACAAGTACCCTTAAGTTCAAGGTACTTCAAAGATTTTGAAGAACTGCCTGCAAAATAAAAACTTAGCAGTAGGAACAATTTTAGTACCAAAATCAGCAGGATTAACATCTCCAGTAATCTTATCAATTTTTATATTACCTTTAGAAATCTCATCCCTAATGTAATGAAATCTAACATCTATGTGTTTAGTTTTTTCATGATACATAGGGTCTTTGCACAAATATATGGCACTTTGGCTATCAGAGAAGACAGTAGGAACAATATTTGTCCCCAATACCTCACCCACTATACCTTTTAACCATTTTGCCTCTTTGATAGCCTCAGTGGCTGCAATATATTCAGCCTCTATAGTAGACAAAGCTACTACAGATTGCAATTGAGATTTCCAAGATATACAGTTACCAGCCCAAGTAAAGAACCAAGAAGTAGTAGACTTTCTTGAGTCTTTACATCCAGCATAATCAGAATCAACAAAACCTTTCAGATCACACAAATCTGCATTAGAGTATTTCAGACCTAGGTTCTTAGTACCAGACAAATATCTTAGAGTATATTTCATAGCAGTCCAATGTTTGGTCCTAGGATCATACATAAATCTGCTAAGTATGCTAACATCAAAAGCAAGATCAGGCCTAGTACAAAGCATGGCATGCATGAGAGAACCAGAAGCAACATCATAGGGGATCTTAGCCATTTTCTCAGATTCTTCTAAAGTTAGAGGATAGGGATCTCTAGAAAGTTCTAAATGCCCTCCTAAGGGTAAGGGGGTTGATTTAGAGTCATTCATATTAAACCTATCCAAGATTTTAGTCAAGTAATCTCCCTGTGACAAAAACATGCTTCTGTTGGATCTATTTCTAGTGATGTCTATTCCCAAAATTCTCTTGGCAGAGCCAATATCCTTCATGTCAAAATGCAATTTCAGATCATCCTTAACACTAACAATCAGCATTTTACAAGGACCAATTAAGAGAATATCATCAACATACAGCAGGATATAAACAACATTCTCAGTTCCAACATGTTTATAATACAGACAAGTATCATATTTACACCTTAAAAACCGAGTTCACTCATGCAGGAATCAAACTTCAAATTCCATTGTCTAGGTGACTGTGTAAGTCCATAGATTGATTTTTTAAGAAGACAAACATGTTCAAGAAACTCTTTATTGATAAAGCCAGGAAGTTGAGACATAAAAATGGTTTCTTTTAAATCTACATGCAAGAAAGCAGTCTTAACATCCATTTGTTCCAATTCCCAGTCAAAAACAGTGGTTACAGCCAACATTAATCTCAAAGTTTTGAATTTTATAACAGGTGCAAAGATATCTTGGTAGTCAATTCCTTCCTTTTGTCTAAAGCCTTTAGCAACCAGCCTAGCTTTAAACTTTGGATGCTCAGTAGGATCCAGACTATCTTTTAACCTAAAAATCCACCTACAGTCTATTACTTTAGCACTTTTAGGTTTAGGAACTAAAATCCAAGTTCTATTGGAATACATGGATTCAAGTTCTTCCTGCATGGCTTTCATCCACTCATTTGACTTAGGACATTTCATAGCTTGTTCAACGTTATCAGGAACTAAATGTTTTACTACCTCGGCAGCAATCAACACAAATTCAGGAAGATTAGAGAAATATCTTCTATTAGGAATTATAGTTCTAGGTTCTCTATCTCTAACCAGTTGATAGTCAGCTAAATTTGGTGTATCATGATTATCAATGTCATTATTATCAACATGCTCATTATTGGTAATAGTAGTGTCAGTTAGTTCATGCACAATAGGAGTAAGAGAACCAGAATTACTACCTTGTGAGTTTGAACTCACTACTACCTGTTCACCTCCATTGAGGTCATCTTGTCGGTCTGTTTCCGACTCTGAATGATCAATTTCAGAATTGTGGAGGATTCCATTATGGTCCTCTTTATTCAAAGAGTCATCATCATCCAAAGATTCAAAGAAATTTCCATCAGAAGCATATGCAGACTTACTCAAGGCAGTATCAGTTCTTTTAAAAGGAAAATCACATTCATTGAAAGTAACATCTCTGGATACAATACACTTATAAGCCCCTGGTTGTAAAACCAATAGCTTATAGCCTTTAACTCCCTCAGGATAACCTAACATTACACATTTTAAGGCTCTAGGTTGTAATTTACCTTGAGAAACATGGGCATAGACAGCACACCCAAAAGGCCTTAAATGAGAAATGTTTGGTTTAACCCCAGACCACATTTCTTGTGGAGTTTTAAAATTGATCACAGAAGATGGGGATCTGTTAATTAGGTATGAAGCAGTAACCACTGCTTCACCCCATAGGGAATTACCAAGGCCTGAACTGATGAGCATACATCTTACCTTTTCAAGCAAGGTTCTGTTCATCCTTTTAGCGGTGCCATTCTGCTGAGGAGTACCAGGGACAGTAAGTAACCTTTTAAACCCTTCATTTTTGCAAAAAAAAAACATTGAATTCATTGTTACAGAACTCAAGGTCATTATCAGTTTTCAAAGCTTTCAGTTTAAAATTGGATTGAGACTCAACCAATGTTTTCCAGTTTTTAAAATTCTCAAAGGTTTCATCCTTAGTTTTTAATAAGAAAACCCACACCTTCCTGGAAAAGTGATCAACTAGAGATAGAAAGTATTTCCTACCTCCAGTTGTGCTCACTTTGGAAGGTCCCCATAAATCAGAATGAACCAATTCTAAGGGAGCAGAAGCAACATAAGATGATTGTTCAAAAGGATGCCTAGTTTTCTTACCAAAAACACAGTTTTCACAAAAAACAAGGTTTTCAGGTTTAAAGTCTAAAAATCCAGTTTTAAACAGCTTATTCAAACCCACATTCCCAATGTGACCCAATCTGTTATGCCAAATTTCAGTTTGCTTTTGAGAGGTACTATTATCAACAGAAGCATCTAAGTTAAGTTCAGGGGAGCAATTAACTAAGTAAAGTCCCCCCACTTTTATTAGCTTTAATAAGGTCATTTCCATTTCTGGAAACAACCTTATATCCATCCTGTGTATTAATAGTGCAACCCAGATCATCAAAAACAGATTCAGATAAAAGATTCCTTCTTAAGAAGGGAACCCACCTAACATTTTGGATAACCCTTACAATCCCATCAAACATCCTCAGTGGAACATTACCAACACCTTTAATATCTAAGGCAGTATTGTCTCCTAACATGACCTTTCCCCCATCATATAGAGTCAGGGAGGAGAAGTAGGCCTTGTTAGGAGTGGCATGTAATGTACACCCAGAGTCTAAAATACATCCATCATTCAAAGAAGATCCAGAACAAACAAGCAATTCATGTTGAAAAACATTTGCAGATTCTGTGTTAGGAGTAGGGTTAGGATTATTCTTATTATCACCTTGTTTATCCCTTTTCTTTTTCCTACAGTCTCTTGCAAAATGTCCTTCTATGCCACAGTAGTGACATTTGAAGGTTTTCTTTTCAGAATTATCTTTATCGGTTTTATTCTTCTTCTTTGAACTGTTCTTTTTATTCTTTGGTTTCCCTTTAATAACTAGGGCTTCATTTTTAGGCTCAGTTTTCTCAGTATTAGAGGGATCAGATTTATACTTAAAAACTTTAAGGGATTCATTCTTCTCAAGTATAGCATCAGTGATCTTACTAGGGGTGAAATCATCATTAGAATACTGGATGACATCCTTAAAGTTATCGAACTGGGATGGTAAAGAGTTTAACATAATAATAGCTTGATGGGTGTCTTTTATCTTTTCATCTACCTTTTCTATTTCTTGAGTCAATTTCAGAAAATTATCCAAATTATCGGATAAAGACACAGAAACATTCATTTTAAAGGTAAACAGCCTACAGAGCAGATAGATCTTTCTAGACATAGAATTTTTCATATAAGTGGACTCAAGGGTATCTCATAACACTTTAGGGTCAGTGATTGTGGAAAATTTTCTAGCCACATTGTCAGACAGATGGATAATCAATTCAGAATATGCAGCATTTTTTAGTTCAGACAGATTAGAACTAGACACATTGGGAACAGTATCAGAAGAGAACGCCAAAGCATTTCTGCTTCATCAGGAGAGCTTTCATCTTAAGCTGCCACATGGGATAGTCACTGGTGCCATCAAAGATGTGAATCTTAATACCAATGTCAGACATGTTTGCAGATTAAGATCCAGAAACAAATAAGTAATAGCAACAGAAGGCAATAAGACAAGAACTAAATGCAATCAAGATTCGAATAGTTTTGAGCTAGGGTTTCAGGATCAAAAAACAGTAGACCAAAAAATTAGGGTTTCTTGAAAAAACTCAATCAAGATCAGAAAATAATACGATCTAACACACAAGAATCAGCCAAAACATAAGCAATACAATAGAAGTAGTAAAAGGAATAGAAATAACCGAACAAAGCTTCCAAAACCCAGGTGTGTACAGATTCTTGGATTCGAACCAACAGCCCAGCGTTTAAGCTTCGCCACATGATTGATTTCCAACATTTCTCAGCTTATTCTGGCCTCAGGTGATTTAGAATCGAATGAACAGAAAACCAGAGGTTTCTCACTCATTCAACGCACAAGCTCTCAGAATCGCCTCTCTGTAGTTAGGGTTTCAAGAATGACGCAAAGATGTCTCCAGAAGGAAGGAAGGAGACGTTTTATATGCGAATCAAATGAGATGGGTCAAATAAGGAGAACCGGACTGGACCATCATAAAAATCATGCCCAAACCGTATTGGAAGAGACTGAAACGGGCCAGACCTAAATTAATTTCTAATCTTGCTTTACCTTCCAATCCAAGGATTAAAGCATCATGGAGAATATAACTAGAATTAAGATTACAAATATAACAATATATGTGCAGTGTCTGTGTGCACAGACAATATTTTCATGTTACACAGACAATTATTTGTCTGTGTGCATAGACAATAATTACCGCACAGACAATAGTTGTCTGTGTGATCAACTTTAGTTGTCGGTGTGATCAATTTTAATTGTCTGGGTGAACAAAAAAAATAATTTTCTATATATGTCCAAATGAATGATGTAGTTGTATGTGTGATCAATTTACATGTAATCTGAAAAAAATTAGAAAAAAAAACATATGAAATAAGATGAATAACCTGATTTTGAACAAATAATGAAAAAAAATTGATATAAAAAGGTAGAGAAGAAAAGGATGAGAGAAGGAAAGAGGAGGATGAAGAAGATAAAGAAAAAAAAAAGAGAAGGGAGAAAGGGGGAAAAGAGAAGGGAGAGAGAACCGAGAAAAGAGGGGAGGGGAAAGTGAGATTTTTTTTTGCTTTTATACCATGTACAACTTGTGTACATGGTGTGTACACTAAGCAAATGGACGATTGTACGGAAATTTAATCAACAAATATGCGGAGAGAATTCAATAACAACGTAAGTAGAATGGACGATATACCCAAAACAATAAAAAAAACGTCTTAAGATTGTTATAAATATGTATAATATTCTACATGCACATGAAATAATAATTAAATAATTAAGGAAACATGTATAATTACTTGTAACCGAGCCCAACTTAAGCGTTGTTTCCTTAAGATGTTTTTATCCGACACATGTAGCAAGCGTCTCCCAAGATAGAATGGTTCCTCGCTCCCAACGAGATTCCGGCGAACTCAAAGATGCAATGAAGGAAGAGAGAATATGGAGGATTGTGTGATGATTTTCGGATTGATTGAAAATGGTGGTAGTCATGGGTATATATAGAGCTCTGGCCAGGGGACTCTACTCTCTGTAGCATCTCAAAAAAGATCTTTTAATTTTTGAAAAACTCTTAAAAATTATCATGACAAAAACATAACCAAAAGCTTTTAGAGACTTTTTGAACGATACAAAAGTTAGAAGGCGGAGACTTATGTCTGCCAAACATAGCCATGATATGCTTCTTATTTGGTTGAATGAGGGTCTGACTTTAGATAGAGTATATTTGTGTGACAGAGTGATCTATTTTTTCTTCCTCTCGTCGATCTTCTTTTTCTTTCTTGTTTTTTTGTTTTTTTATTATTTTTTATCCTTTTTTCTATCATTTTTATGTATATCTTATATGTTTTTATATATTACTTCCTCCATTTCCTTTTAATTGCAATAATCAACATTTCACGTTTGTCAACGCAAAAGTTTGGCTATTAATGTCTTTCATTCCCTATTAGTAAAAAATTTAAAACATTCATATTTTTAAAATTTAGAATGAGAAGAATTTAACAATATTTTTAAAAAATTTAATTTATAATACATAAATTGATAAAATATAGTCAAAGTAGAATATGTGAATAGTGCAAAAAGTCCAATGTTGCAATTAAAAGAAAACGGATGTAGTAATATTTTCTATCATAGCTTGTCTTTTTATCTTTCTAATCTTTCTTTTCTTTTTGGTTCCGATATCATGAATCGATTTATGTTAGCTGACCCCAAAATCTTTTGGGATTAAGGCTTAGATGTTGTTGTATATAGATTATGTCTGAAAATTATATTTTACTTAGACTTATTCCAGTCTCAAACTAGACCACATCAGATCAACCTAGTTCAGATCAAACCCGATCAGACCAGACCAGACCCCATCAGACCAGACCCGATCAGACCAGACCGGACTTCGATAGTTGTAAAATAAACAGAGACCAGACATTTACCAGATCAGATCAAATCAAACCAGATCAGAGCAGACTAGATCAAATTACATCAGACCAAACCAAATCATATAAAAAAATCAATCTAAATAAAAATATCCAACCAGACGGCTATGATTTCTGATTTCGGATTTCTGAAGGAAAATAGCTTCTCGCTTCAGGTTGTCTATTTGTCACTCTTTTCATTTTTTCAGTGTTTATCATTTGGTTTTTTTCATTTATTATATATCTCATTCGATTAGAGTACTCCTATTATAGGCCCTCCTATAAAACTACCCCTGCCCGACCAGCGGCCCGCAACGGCTAGTTTTAGTTGCATTCTCAAACGTCTACTTTTATTTCCTTTCCTTCTTTCTTCTCAGTCCCAAACTCAACTTGCTCCGTAGGAACAACCTTGTTGCGGAGGAGAAGAAGATGACAGAGGAATCCAGCCGAGCCGTTGATTCGTGTGCGCTGGCCGGGGCGACAGCTCCTCCGGCGCCGCTCCCTCAGAACCGACGGCCGAGAGTTAGGGAGGTCAGTTCTAGATTTATGACCCCTCTAATTTCATCTTCAGCATCATCCGCTGCAGTTTCTTCCCCCTTCGATCATCGGTCGAAATCTACGTTCAGGCGGCACCCTCATCAACAGTCCCTGAACGAACCGTTGTCCTCCCGTCCGGTCGAGGATGAGAACATTCCTGATGTTATGCGCAATTCTACTGGTACTAAATGTTTACTCTTTCTGATATCGATTTAAAATTCTCCTTCTAGCGATATTTAGGGTTATCTCAGGCTATTAGATCTGAAACCTCTTCAGTTTATTGTTCTTCCGGTCTCGTATTCTCTTTCAAAGAAGTGCACTGTAGGTTTAATTTAGAGGGAACCTATAGCTAGTTCTATTAGTTTTGCGGTTCATTTTAAGGATACATGATGTTTATAATGTCCCAATTTAGAGTGATTATTACCCGATGAGTCTATCTCTGTTGCAACTCATTAAGATTAGGGAAATCAATTCTTTCCCATGATTTATGATTAACAAAGGAAAAAGGAATCGTATTTGTGCATTCTTATCCAATGTCCTGCATTACAAACATGAATTCTTTTTTTCTCTCTTAAGGTCAGATGATTTAGGTTTTTTTTTGACTATATATATTCAATTTCAAAAAAGTTTGTGGTTTTGTTTTTTTATAGTGATACTTTCATGGATCAGAAATCTGAATCCCTAGTTTGGGTAGTTCAAAACTCCAATAAGGTCCAAGCAACAGTGTAAATTCTACTTTGTTCTGATTGGAAATTTTGCTGCTGATGGATCACAAACATAAATTCTGACTGTTTTGTCAAGCTATTTAGTGAATAATTTTAACTTTGCAAAGATTTTTGTCCTGATGGTGATTGAAACTTTGGTACTCTAGGTTCACAAATGCTCAGCAAGGCTGCAATACTATTGTCAACTGTCCAGAGGAAGCCGCAGCAAAAGACAAAGGTTTTGAAGGAAAATGGTGGCAGTAGATTCGAACAGCAGCAGTCAGCCTCTGATTCACCCGCCCAATCTAAAAGGGTGTCTTCTTCTTCCTCCTCCTCTTCTTACAGGCCTGATACTCCATATGCACGAGGTGGTGCTGAGAGGATTGTTCCATCCAGATATCGGGTAACTCCCCACCCTCTCCATCGCCAGACTCAAAACCACTGTGGTGCTGCACAGACACCATTCAGTGCTGCTGCTCAACTAGTGCAGGAGTCCACCAGCACTTCCAATACCCCAACACCAAAAGATGATTATGATTCTTCTGATAACGAATCTGTACAAAACAGAAAATCATACCCAAATTCCCCCGTTTGTATAACTAGTAGTAAGATAGCCCGGGGGCCCTGGACCACTCGGGCATCCATGCCCGAGGTTGATAGATGGCTCATTGATAAAAATTCCACTCCGAAATGTGTTCGTTCCTTGAGTTTGTCAAGATCAAGTAGTGATTCGAAGAACCTTTGCCTTCCTCCACAGCCCACCACAAAACCAGGATTGGATAAGAAAGTAAGAAGGGGTGTTAATAACCATCCGGACGACGATCATTCCTTAAAGATGCTCCAAAACCATTACCTGCAGTGGCGGTATGCAAATGCCAAAGCAGAGGCGTCTGTACATTCTCAATCAATGGAAGCTGAGAGGAAATTATATTCCCTTGGATGCCAGATTAATGATTTGCGGGAAAAGGTGAGCATGAAACGCGCTGAGTTGGCCTCACTACAGAGGATTAAAACTCTGTCCACCATTCTTGAAACTCAATCACCGTGTCTTGAGGAATGGTCTGCCATAGAGAATGGGTACTCAGCATCTTTATCTGGAGCGACAAGTGCATTGCAGAATGCCTCTCTACAGTTACCAGTCAGTGGAGTTAGGGTTGACTCAAGAGAACTAGCTGAGTCATTTAACTCGGCTACTAAAGTGATGGAACAGATGCATTCTGATATAGAGAGGTTTGTGTGCAAGGCAGAAGACGTAGATTCTTTGGTTTCGGACTTGGCTAGGGTGAGTAGTGGAGAAAGATCTTTCATTGAAGAGTGTGGGGATTTACTTATGAAGGTACATGCTTCACAGATAACGGAATGCAGCTTAAAGGGGCATATGGTTCAACTCAGTCGAATCATTGACCAGTTAAGAAGCTCTACGTAGGAGTAAGGTTTCGTCAACTTCTGCAATAGTCCTTTCATAGCATGGCCCTATAGGTTCTTCACTGCAATATTTCCCAACCTCGTTTACTTTCAAGCTATATATACAGTGTTTGTATGACAAATGATGATGACACACACATTCAAACATTTTACCGACAGCAAGAATGATTCTTTTTTTCTTTTTGTGCGTAAATAAATTATTGTACATTGCAATATGCTGTTTTCTATCATTGAATTGGTTATGGGTAGTTTTTGCCATTTTCCTACAATTGTTTTTGGGATCGTCGCAAGTTTCCATCAAAGAAATGAAAAATGTTGCTATGAAAAGACGGGCTCTTGACATCGTTGAATGGTTAACATGTTCTTTTTTTTAGTATAAAAAATCACCATTTACACTAGGGTGAAGAAACGAAAAGGATCTTCCATCCTCTAACCAAGTTAGCACCCCTGTATTCTCATCCTACACAAAAACTACATAAGTTTTATCATCTCAAAATCACCATTGTGGGTAATGTAATATCATTGATCTAATTATTGTTTTTTTAAATGATTCCTTAATCAGATTGGTTTCTTTTCCAAAATGTTTAATCTTCACTTTCTTGAAAAATCATGACTCTTGTGCTTGCATCAAGTGTCTGTGAATCTGATTTTGAGTTTTTTATTGTGAAAATATTTTTCTAAATATAATTTTGAGTTTTTTATTGTGAAAATATTTTTCTTTTAGTTGCCTCACACCAATTTGTGAATCTGATACTGAACACAAGTAATCTTTTGAGTCTTAAACTTGTATGCTCAATTCACAGCAATGTAGGAAAAGTAACTACAAACGAATATTCTCAGGGAATGCGGATTCTTAACATAATTGCAGGTCTGTGTATACTATATAGAAATACTATATCTTTACCATAGTGTCCATAGTGAACCCACCGTTCTTGATAGTTTGTCTTTAGGGAAAAATAATAAAAATACTCCAAACTTTGAAAGGGTGTGAGGTAAACACCCCAAACTTACACATGTAATTTAAATACCCTAAATTTTATATAAAAAGTTATTTTTGCACCATTTTCATGTATTATTTCTTTCAAAAATGTAAATTTATGAGGTTAATTGCATAATTTAAAATAGCAAATTAAAAGTGTTGCAATTATATAGATTGGAGATAACATTATTTATTTCGCAATAGAAGGTTAGAATGTTAATTGTGTCTTCATGAATTATAAAATATTTTAAATTATGCAACTAACACCATAAACTTACATTTCAAAAAAAATAATACTCGACTATGGTGCTAAAATAACTTTTGATACAAAGTTTGGGATATTTAAATTACATATGCAAATTTGGGGTGTTAATCTCACATCCTTTCAAAGTTTGGGGTATTTTAATTATTTTTACCTTGTTATTATTATTATCTTTAATGTGAGTCTGACCACAGAACAATGAAACAGCTCCAAATACTTTAATATTTCAAAAAGTTATATTGCCCAGAACCAAAAAACTAGCAAGCCAGAAGGTAAAGAGTGTGAGATGCCATCAAATAAGAGAAAAGGTCCAACTCAAGTCGGGACAGGTGAAGAAGTACAAGACAAGAGAAGAAAATCATTTGAAGGGAAGATTAAAGTAAGAGCCCGTTTGGTAGCATGAAAATCGGCTGATTTGGTTCATTCTGCTGAAATTTATGAATTTATGTTTGAAGTGGCTGTATTGGTTGATTCTGTTGATTTAAGAAAAAATTGTTTTTAAAAATACTCCCTCCGTCCCGAAAAGGTTGATCAAAGTTGACTTTCACGTGGATTAATAAAGTGAAAATTGTTTGTTTGAAATTTGTGCAGAGAAGAGAGAATTAATTTTAGCCACATATTCCTTACTTTAAATGGAAATGGCAAATCTCTTTGGGACATCCAAAAAAGGAAATTTGGTTAACCTTTTCGGGACGGAGGGAGTATTTTATTAATAAAATAAAGAAAAAATTATATGTAGAAATAGCTAAAATGATCATCTACCATAACTTCAGTCAAGACAATCAGAAAAGTAACTTCAACCTTACTTTTCTGCTTATTACACAATTCAGCGCGCGAAAGCAAAAGTTATGTGTTTGGTGAAAAAATGGGATGATAAGCCGAAAAAAAGTGTTGTCAAACGGCCTCTAAAAGAGGAGTCTGGAAAGAAAATGATACTCCATAGAATCGTACGCAGTTAGCTTTGATGATGAACTCTAGAATTCCCAGTTGTCGGACTGGGAAATGGGAATTCAGTTTGTGAAAGATATACTCCGTAATCCGTATAATAAGTACTCCCTCAAGATATACTCTGTATAATAAGTACTCCGTACTACGTAGTATCACATTATGTAAATCGAATGACTAGTGTTACCTAGGCCATTTATAGGCTAGATTAGACGAAACCAGATTAGACCAGATCAGACCAGCAAATTTCAGTTCAAGTAAAAACATCCCGATAACACAGAGTTCAGATTTTAAGAGTTTTTATTTTTGTTATATTTTGTACAACTAGTCAAAAAAAAATTCTCATAGTGAGCAGAGGAATGATCTGGTGATTGATATTACACATAATCACCATTTATTTATTGCATCAACGTTTTGGTTTAATGTCATTATTAGTATGGTGGTGGATGAGAGAATGTTGGCATTTCCATCCAAAAACTCATTTATTCGAATTGATTAATTGTTCTGCAAAAATAAATTATGTCGATATAGGATCCGATTGAAAATTATCAATTAAAGACCTAGAATATCATAGATTTTGATTGATTTATTTTTACTAAATCAATTATTAATTTTTTAAGATTTTTTCTTCACATGAGTTTATTGGTTTGATATGATTAAATAATATTCAATTTTTAAAATTAAAAAATATTAAAATTCATGATATTTTACATTTTAGATTGATAGTTTGAATCATTCGAAATCTATATCCAGGTCATTTGTTGGTAGTAAACCTATTTTTTAGGTTCTGAACTCTACATCCTAGTTTTGCAGAGTTCGTGTGTCGCCGAGCTTTTGACACTCCCTTCAATGGTATGCACCGGAAAGGTGATCAAGACAGGAATTTCTTCATCACCGTTGTCTTAAGGTCAGCAATTGATGAAGGAGGAACATGATATTTTTTCGAAAATGGACCGGTAGAAAAAATAGGGAATTCAGGCTCTACAAATGTGTTGAGACTATAGAACTTGATGATTTATTTGTTAACATCAAGAATTGGAAGTGAAATAAACTTGGACTTGGTGAAAGCAGGGATAAAGGTGGTGGTGGAATGGAGAAAATGGAATGTGCGACTGAAGAGATTTCCAAAATGATGAAAAAGCCTATGGTTGTAAGGATAGCATCTATGACAACAAAATATAAATTTCTTCTATAAAAACCGTTGTCTATGAAGATTTGGTTATTCTCTTTAAAATTTTTTAAAACTACAACCAGGATAAATTTTTTGATTGATTTAATAATTAAAAACATTCAAGCACGAAATTTGTAGAAAAATGTAGCCTATACGTGTTATTTTTATTATTTGTACATCCGGGACTGTATAGATAAGAATTAGAGTAGATAGAGTTCTCTAATTAGTAGATAAGTTTGCAGAATAGATAGATCCTACTTTTTAGGATCTGTAACAACTTAACTTTATCTGTAACTTGTATATATATCATTGCCGAATGGCTCAATAATATACAAGGGAGATTAATTCTTCAAACTCACATGGTATCAGAGCCCGATTGTTTAAAACACCACAATGGTGGAAACTGAACACTCTGATTCCTCCACCCACTCACAAACTCATCACCCTAACTCCCAGATTAGCCAAATGACAAACTATCAGGCCTCGGTTAATTCATCTATGCTCATTACTGGACATAGATTGAATGGAACCAATTATCTAGAATGATCACAGTCTGTCAAACTGGCAATAGATGGAAGAGGAAAGTTGGGATACATAACGGGTGAAGTAGAGGAGAAGAAGAGTGGTGATGATGGTTACAGCATCTGGAGGTCAGAAAACTCTTTGGTAACAGCCTGGCTTCTCAGTTCAATGGATGCATCAATCGCCAAACCTCACATGTTCATGAAAACTGCAAAAGAGGTATGGGATTCAATTAAAGAAACCTATTCAGATCTTGAGAACTCTTCTCAGATTTATGAATTAAAAACAAGGTTGTGGCAATCCAAACAAGGAAGTAGAGATGTCATCTCATACTATAATGAGATGGTATCTCTATGGCAAGAGTTGGACCAATGCTATGATGCTGAAGACTGGGAAAATGCCAAGGATCTGGCAAGACACAAGAAGAAAGAGGAAAATGACAGGGTCTATATGTTCCTAGCAGGAATTAATAGAGACCTAGATGAAGTAAAAGGCAGAATACTGGGGAAGAAACCTCTGACCTCAATCAGAGAGGTTTTTTATGAGATCAGGTTGGAAGATAGCAGGAGGAGGGTCATGTACAACACTCCAGTACCTAATGAGGAACCTGGGGACTCTTCAGCTTTGGTGGCCAGAAGTGATGACAAGAAAAAACATTGGTCTGATCACTGCAAAAAGTTGTGGCACACAAGGGAAACATGCTGGAAACTTCATGGAAAACCACCAGGAGCTGGAAAGAAGAAAGTAGAGAGAGCCCTACAAACTACTGTGACTGAGACTCAACAAGAGTCAGGAGTTGAATCTAAACAGCTGTCATTCACTCAGGAACAGATAGAGTACCTACTCCAATTTATACCCACCCAGAAAATCTCCAACCAAGAAAACCCTACCTGTTCTTTTGCCCAAAATGGTAAAATAACATCATTTTTTTGTTCTGAAAAACCAAAAAACACCTCGGTCATTGACTCAGGTGCTACAGACCACATGACCTACATTTCAAATCTTTTTTCTTCATATCAACCTTGTGCAGGAGATAAGACCAAAACTTTCCTCATGTTATTAATGGTGGTGGTGGAATGGGAAATCTCTTTTTCAGCCATAGCAGGGATGGGAAATATTAAAATTTCCTCATCCATTAACCTTTCCAAAGTCTTACATGTTCCAAAACTTTCCTGCAATCTTATCTCTATTAGCAAAATAACCAAAGATCTTAAGTGTTGTGTAAAGTTTTATCCTTCTTATTGCATTTTTCAGGATCTGGCATCAGGGAGGATGATTGGCAGTGCTAGAGAGGAGGATGGCCTCTATACTTTTGATGAAGGAACTCAATTGAATAAACAAGGTCAAGAAAAAACTTGTTTGCAAACTATTTCCTTT